GCCTAATTAATGAGCTCGAGCGCAGCATCGCTACATAGTTACTATTTGATTCGATTCCGCACCGAATTGAGAAAATCTTTTCGCAGGTTCTCCTAGAAATTGAGCTTGCGACATTTTCAATATTAAACACTGGCGATGCTCTTGAGTCGGGGGGGCGGGCCAGCGATAGTAGTCACGTGACCAAAAAGTGACATAAATGAGGAAAACGGCACATTTCAACTTTGACGTATTTTTACGTTATAATAACTCGTGATTTTATTTAAAAAAACGATTGTAATACAATAAATACATATCAAATTATGGAAATAAATTAGATTTTAACGGGTTGGTGTTGATTATGGGGGGGTTTTATCACTCGATATCAATGTTAATGAGCTCGAGCGCAGCATCGCTACAGTGGACATTGACGTCACTATAGTAGGCAGGATGATGTTCTCTGTGATGGCAGTGTGTGTGCTGTTGGTTCGGCCGTGGGCACGAGAGACGCATTCTACGCGTGTTCTGCAGTCACTCCGCAAATCTGGAGTGGATGCGGAAACCCTAGTCCGTTCCGCGGCATACAAGCGCTGTTTCTACCGTTGTTAACCGCTACTTCCTGCATGTGTAGTGCCGTCTTTGACAGCTTGCGAATAGTATGACTATGTTACAACGTTAAGTCAAAGCCAAGAATAAGAGAAAGCCAGTTGTTACCATGTTTTAGAAGTTTACTACTGATTTTGTCGTGGTCGTGCCTGCCGGTGCGTGGGTGTGAAGCCGAATTCCCCGATTCTCCCCGGCTCTCGTCTTATATAGGCAGCCACGACCGCGCCTCAACAAACCAACTTAGTAGCCATCCAAGTTGGCCCCCTGCAACCCGATGTCGTTTGCGTTCGACCGCGGCGAAAGGGTCCCCATGGGGTGGCGACCGTGGGGTCGGTTGTGGTAACGGTGACAGCTCCGTCAGACTATACCGGGACATCTGTTGGTGCAAAGCCTCGAGATGCTGTATGTCTTCCGGGTCGTTGTATTCACCGTTTGGATCGCATGCCCTGAGGTGGGTATAGTAGGTCTCTATCAGAGACTCCCCCCGTGAATTTGAAAATGGGTCGAATCCCTCAGGCATGTAATCAGATACCTCTCTAACAAATA